GTTTGCCAGGTTGCTTTGTTGGTTTTTTTGTTTTTTTTTTTTTTTTTTTTTTTTTTCTGGCCAGAGCCTGTGGTAGATGTGGAACTTCAGTGTCTGAGAATAATTTTTTTTTATTTTATTTCATTTCAGTTGAGCTGAAACAGTGAAACTCTTACACGACGTACATTTCTCACGGAGTTTTAAATGTCAAGTTTAATGTTCATTGTAATTACTGTGACTTTCAGCTAAGGTCAAACCCTCAAATTTGAGTTAGTCAGAAAATTTGACAACAACAACAACAAAAAAAACATCACAAAACAAAAATGTCAGCCTACAGAAAAGTCCATTCATTTTCTGAACGCTACAGTCACCCAACACTTGGAACACTTGGTTGGAGCTCCTTTGGCTTGATTTATGGTCAACAGTGTGAGGAGGCATGGAGGCAATCAGCTTGTGGCTCTGCTGAGGTGTTAGGGAAGCCAAAGCTGCTAAAAAAACAAAAACCAAACAAAGCAGAAACACCAGGATACTGGTGACACGGACACTGAATTATCACTGACTGTGCAAACGTCACACTGGGCCTTAAATAACTTGACTTTTTCACTCTTTGTAACTCTGGAAACTTGATTCTCAAGGAAATGGGTCAATTTACCTTCACTTGAAAACAGAACCAGAGCACCAATCCTAATCTCCTAATCCTCTCACCCAGAGGTGACAGGTTTCTTAGCCTGTTCAGCGGAGCCTCACATCAGGAACATGGCGGTCACAGTCTGTGTCCGGATGTGTTTGGTGGCTCTTGAAGAATTGATTCCAGCTCCTATAAACTATTGAATGAGGGTTTCCTTTACCGTCCTGTCATGGCTCCTATTATCTCTGTTGCTTGTGCTCCTTTATTGGCCACGCTTTCTTCTTTTACTCGTATTTCTATTAAAGACACAGTGTTATTTAAAATCAACTTTTTTGAGCTTTACATCAAGTTATAATGTTATTCCCTCATTAAAAACATGCCCGGAGTCTCGCCTGGATTCTTTCATGCATGTTGGAGAAATCCTTGAATCTCCCATGGCAACCATTCAGCTGGATGCAGCTCTCCCCCACGACTTCCTCACTCGGCTCCTTCAGACTAGCAGCAGCAATTAGCAAAAAGTGGTGGAGCTGCACATCCACTGAGCTCATTATAGGAGCTACTTCTCAGTACATCGCAGGTGAAAACGTTAAAGGGTTAATGGAGGAACGATGTTGTGATGGCAAAGTGTTGGAAAAAGCAGGACTTTCTTAAAGAGACAGAGACCCAATTTCAAAGTGTTAAGTTACAATGTCAAATTTCTTTTAAGCCATATTTGATTCATACAGGATTTTTAAGATGACATTTAGTTAACATGTGTACTATAAAATGATACTATGTGGCTGGAAAGCCCATTGCACTGCACCTTTAACATGGACATGGCAACACTCTTTCATCTTCATGTTTCTTTAATAGTTGACATTTGACATTTTAGGTTTTTGTTTTTTCTTACAATTAATTACTTGTTCAAAGCAAAACCACAACACAGAGCGTTCCCACAGATCTGTCTCCAAGTTCCAATGTTCTCTCTCTCCCAAACTTTGTTTCCTAATCAGGTCTGACTTCATCTGTCCGCCCACTTTTCACACGTAGGAGTGGGGGCAGCGTTTCAAAAGAGAGCAAAGCTTTGTTTATCCCCGGCCACCAGACTTATCAGCACCAAAAGCACTTCAGCCATCTAGGCAGCAGATTCAAATACTTAGTAATTAGCTAGCGAAGTAGCTATTACTGTTTTTGTTAGGTTTTTTTGTGTGTGTGTGTGTGTGTGTGCTTCTTGAGTTTGAAAATGCACATTTGAAAATGCATATAATCCTGTCTTATTTATCGGCCATTTGCAACTTGCTGCTGTGCAAAACAGCTGAAGAGGTTTTCTTTTTGAATTTTTTTTTTTTTTTTTTTTTTAAATCCTACGTTCCGTTTGAAGAGCCTGGCGTAATGGGCGTCTCTCATCTTTTCTTGCAGCAATACTTCCATGCTGGTGGGAACGGACTGAAGAAAACCTTCCTGGAAAAGAGCCCTGACATGAAATCGCTCAAATACGCTCTCAGCCTTTACACTCAACCTACAGATGCCTTGATCAAAAAATATATATGCACCCAAAACTCTCAAGGTAAGGACTCGGACAATGTCTTTCAATAACCCCCCCCCACCCCCCTAATCAATAGTTAAGTTTGTTTGTATAGCACTTTTCAGGAACAAGGCAGTTAAAAAAAACAAAAAAAACATAGTACAGTAACCACTTATGAAACAGCAATAAACATTACATTTTTTGTCAAATGCCATCATCAAAATATTCAAGCAAACATATCAAACATATACTGGTCAATGTTCTAGTTACTACGAGTCAAAGGTCATTCTAAGCAAGTGAGTTTTTAGCCTTGATTTAAATCGGTGTTTCGGTTCTTTTGCAGTTTACTGGAAGTTTGTTCCAGGTTTGTGGTGCATAGAAGCTGAATGTGTGTTACATGCCACCATGCTCCATATTCAGTATATCTGGATTAGTCCGATTACGTTGCGCTTGAGACGATATTTATTGCAATTTCGCTCTAAATCACGTCAAACTCGAGGCCCGTGGGCCAAATTCGGGCCGCCGTAGCTGTTTACGTGGCCCTCTAGAGTCTAGGCTTAACACTAAGTGTGCTTGAATATCATGATTTCAGTCAAATCAATGCAGTTTGTGCTTTCTGCCAAATTATATCATTCAGACCCTCCAGTTTCTTGAGAATTATCTTGGAAAATCACACCAAAATCAAC